ACTCGTCGTCTTCAATAGACGTGTGTGGAAGACTGGAGACGTTGCATGAGCAGATAGGCGGCTTCACTAGAGGAGTAGGTACTGCCATCTGCAACATTACTAGGAACAGGTAACTCAGGTTCAGCAATAGTGTTCAGTCTTAATCTAGACAAAGCATTCGATCATGCAAGCCTGTAAGAAATTTTACTCATATTAGTAAGTAAATGTTGTCGAGGGGGGGGGGGGGGGGTAAAACTGTTACTATGGAGTCGAGACAACCTCAACCACAGGTATACGAGAGTAAATAGCAATAAGAAACTACCAATTGCGTGGGAGTGGGACTCAAGGAGGAGTCCTTTATCCTTTTTATTGTTTAATCCCTTATAGAAAACCTAGTTACCACGACGTTCAATTGCTCGGCTTAGCTGATGGTATAGCATTAGTCGTCACAGGTGCTTCACATTTTAATAAACACAAGTGGCGCTAGATCAAGTAACATCTACATGCAGTATTTTAGGGCTAAAAATATCTGCATAGAAGTCTAAAGCAATGAGACTAGGTGGCAACACTGTAGACAGACAGGCAACAGCCCGCCCTCATAAACAAATGCCAAAGTCCATTCCATGCACCCGCCAAACCCCCTGCTGTTTATGAATGAAAAACGGTTTACACACGACTCACAACTGATGACGTTCGAACACTTCCGGATCAAGTTCTTTACTGACAACTTTTGTTCGAACCACAACGCTGTAAATGCTTCACCCACGTACTACAAATACAAATAATCGCCAACAGAACCTAAACACCTAACGTAACTTAACCAATGCCTAAATATGCAAAGTATGCTAATATAACAATATTAATTTATATCTGAGAAAATTCCTATCTTGAATGAACAGGATGTTAACATTGATGAATGTCTCTTTGGGGTCGACCGCTGGATGGAATGAACTTGATCTGAGGACGGGTTACATGCCCAGTCCCTCCATGCGGTGCTCAGACACAAACATGCATTCATCAATATTTAATATACGCGTGATTAAAAATAATAATTTTCTCAAATGGTAAATTAATATTAATACGCATATCTAGGCGTAGGTTAGGTTACTTGTTTAGGTTCTGTTGGCAATAGTCGGGTTTGAAGTAGGAAGGTTAGGTGTTAAGAGTTCTGCGACTCGTAAACAGGTTGTCAGCGATGGAGTGCTCGAAGGTCATCAGTTATAAGTAGTGTGTGTAAACCGTTATTAATTCATAAACAGGAAGTTTGGTCGGCTGGACGAGCATTTGACCTGTGTGGACGAGGACGGGCTGCCTTAAAACATTAGCCAATAATCGTTAATATGCCGTTCTGTTTATGAATGAACAGCATTTTAAACACAGCTCTCAGGTAATTACGCCCAAACTTTGATTGAAACATGCTTCATTCACTATTAGTTTTTTAAGTGCACCTCACTAAATGCTTCACCAACATGCTGAAAATACAAATAATGCCCAACTGAGCTTAAGCACTTAACCCAATAAATCCTAGGCCTAACTATACACAAATTTCACGAAAATATAGTTTTCGGTGACGAATTGTACGTTAAAATTTACACTCGTGTCCATGAGCTCGGCCGCAGCTTGGACGAGCACAGCGTGACAGCGGTTTGTCAAAATACACATAACTACCCCACCACCTAATCTAAACTTGGCCAAACTATGCACAAAACCATTATCCACAATATTAATTTATTTATGAGAAAACACAGTTTTTGGATTACTCCGTAAACAAGGATATACCTACAGACCTGTGTGGACCATCCCAGCTTGGACACCTTGAAGCTGCACCGGAAATAATGGACTTGACAGCGAGAACGAAAGATAATGTATTCTCCCTCAAATTACGACAGGCAAGAAAAGTTGAGAATGAAAGAGAAAGAGTAACTAATAATTACCACAAGAAGGCAGCAAGCCAGTACTATTTTTTAGCACAAAAGGGCATAAAGTAGAAAAAGCGATTGAGAAATAAGTATTGCATATAACGTGACTCTGATTAATTATTATTATTATCACAACTTATATTAACATAAACCTACATGGGGTTAATTTATAGGGGTTTTCCAGCAGGTAGAAGGCGTACGAATAGTGCTATGTCTGGTGCTTACATGTTCCAAGGTTGCCTTATTGGCTAGTCTAGTCAATACTCCGCTCCTTGCAACATATACACATTAGTCGAACTGTGTAGGACATTGCAACTATGCCATTGCAGACACGCTGCAGGATGCCCCTTCCAACCCCGCACCCCAGAATTAATTAATGAGATAAACACATATATGTTTTATTAATTTATATTATTTTTATAATCATTATTTTATGTTAATTGAAACATGTAACATTAACAACTGTAAGTCTTTTTTACCTTACAAATAAAAAAGAAAAAAGACAGAAAAAATAACATCTAATGCGAGGGATTGCAAATCACTCAGTAAGGCTGAACATTTTTTTTATCAATACATTGGGTACATCTGCATTAGTGCAGCTACCCTAGACTATATGAAGTGGAGTACAGTGTGTCAAAAAAGCTAACTAGGTGATGCTAAAAAATCCCCATCACACAGGATGGTTAGTCATACAGAGGCATGTGATAGGCAGTCTGCACTGGCAGACTCCGGAAGCATTTTGAGGATAACATCAACACAAGAGTGAATAAGGCAGCAGTGGTAATAAAAGTCCCCATCTCGCAGGATGGTTAGTTATACAGGGCCATATGTTTAGTAGCCTGCACTGGCAAATTTTGGGTACACTGTGAGGATATTTTCAAGAATACGAGAGTGAATAAAGTAATTGCAGAGCTCCAGGTACCTCATGCCAACTGGTCTGAAAGGTCTAATAACTGGGCATTCAGTGATGTAGTGCGGGAGATCGTGCCGTAGTTCCTGCTCACAGAGTTTGCACACACTGTAGGGGCAGCGCACCGAGATTAATGTCTGCGGACAATGACATCCAGATTTCACTAACTCGTTCACTACTGGATTAGTTATGCTTTATATACCATGCGATATAACGTTGACATTACTTATGAAATCATCGATTCTAAATACATCACTAAATCTTTTCACGATAACAGGATGAAGTATTTTAATTTGATAATTAGGAAAAACAAAAATATGTTCAGGGTAACTAATTTATACAAATTTAGTAGGCCAGCCAGAGGCTTAGGGCCCGCGCAGGAATTTACCTGCAAAAAAAAAAAAATAATAATAAAAAAAATAAAAACTAGTCGTAAAATCAGAGGATGACTTGTACGTCAAGGCGATAAATTTTACAAACAGAGGGAGAGAGTTTGCAGTGAAATAAATTTATGCTCCAATGTTTGGTTTGAGCATACCCGGCCCCGCTCTGGTACACACACGCGCGCGCACACACACACACACACACACACACACACACACACACCTCCCCCTCCAACAAACACACAGATCCTTGTATTCCGAGAATAGACACAACCAAAAGCCCTCACCATCACCAACCACTACCAAACCTGCACATAATATGTCACATTTGTTGATCTGGCAGCTATACTTTCCTTTATAATACTTGTTATTGCAGCTTGTCGCTATAAGAAGATTAACATTAAGGGCAGATTTCCCCGCTTTCAACACCACCTCAAGCTGATTATTCCCCTCATCAGTCGCTCTGCTAGGGAGAAAATACCACGGCAGCCTTCATGGTAAAGTCCTTACTATTTCCAACGTGTATCGACTCTATCCCGGGCAACGCCGGGATAGAAAGCCAGACTATCCCGGCGGTGCCCGGGATAGTCTGGCTTCCTCCCAACCCCCATTACTGCCGTCTTCTCCTATCTCCGCCTCCCCCCCCCCCCCGCCCTCGTCCCCATCCTCAACTCTTTCCTCCCCGTCCCCCCCATTTCTCCTCCTTCCCCCACGTCTTTCCCCTCTCCCCACCATCTTAGTCCCACCATTCATCTCCCCCTCCCCTATCCCCCAGCACCCCCCACCATCCACTGCCTATCCCAGTCCACCTCTACTTCCTCTTTTCGCAGAAAATATATTATTATGAAATAACGTTGATAAACATCACACTCTTTGGTTTTATATTCCTGATTTCATGCTGGATTCATTCCTGCTTTCATTTCAATCGCTCGGGGGTGTTGTGTTGCACACTATATTTCTTGAAGCATAAAATTTAGGCCTATCCTGACCAGCCTATCTCCGTCCCTGTTCCCCCTACAAATTTTGGTGAGGCTAGCACCTAGCGTCTGGCTTCCAGCTTTGGACAGGCAGACAGACATTATCTCTTGAAGGATAAAAAAGTTGAATTAAGTTAAAATATTAGTGATAGTGGTAGGAGAGCGCTCATAGGTGATGGGAAAACAGAGGGAGGTGTTGAGAGAACAGTGATAATTGCTGGGAGAAACAGGCAGGTGCTAGGAGAACACGGGCAGGTGCTAGGAGAACACGGGCAGGTGCTAGGAGAACACGGGCAGGTGCTAGGAGAACACGGGCAGGTGCTAGGAGAACACGGCAGGTGCTAGGAGAACACGGGCAAGTGCTAGGGGAACACAGGAAAGTTGGCGGTGTCCGAGGGGAAACTATAGTGAGTAAGCCTTACCATAATATACGGGAAGGCCTCCTACCGTGACCTCTCACCCTACTAAGAGGGATGAGCAGCCGGCTACTCGCGAATCCGCCTGGATAAAAAATAGTATCTTCCTTTCTTACAGTTGAAAGCAGATAGAGGAAAGCGGGAGTTGACATGGTCGCTGTGTTGTCGCCTGACCTACGAGCAATTTCCCACCGGGGAGATCAACTCATCTATCTCGGGAGATGACATGTTTCTCAGCGGTGTGATCTGCCAGGCGTCACATCCTCACACGACCTCCCATATTAACCCCCAGAAGAGTACCTCGTCAACAGACAGAACACCTCCCCCCACCCCACAACCTCCCAGGCTCACCCCTCCCCCCGTTCTTTAACCTCCACAGCACCAAACCCTCAACACCACCTTCTTCTCCCCGGCAGAAAATGATGTGCAGCAGCAGCAGCAGCTCGTGGTGCAGCCTCCTGCTGGTGGGCGTGGTGGTGGCGCTGGGCGTGTGTGTGGGTGTGGGCGAGGCCATCCCCCCTCCCATCTGCCTCAACCAACAGCTGCCTCTCAGCCCCTATGCTAAGAAGCTGTGCGCAGCCCTCTCCAACATCTCAGAGTTCTCCCGGGCCATGGAGGAGTACCTCGACGCCCAAGGTGAGCACCTCCCTCCTGCATAGAAGTGTAAAGCAATGTAAACACGTTCATCTTGTTCTGCCTTTGAGAAAAATCCTTGGTGGGGATATTTGGCTTTATTCTTTGTGTAAGGTTCTAATCCTTTGTGGTATTTGACTTTATCCTTTGTGTAAGAGTGTGATCTTTGGGGTATTTGACTTTAATCTTCGTGGTCTTTACCCTTGAGGATAAATTTAAAATCAGACCCAGATGTTTCATTAGTAACGAACATGTACAAATCATCACCCATCTGGTTGGACTGAACAAGTGCGCAACAGCAAGATAATTAAATGTTGCACATACATTCAATAGCACAAAACATTCATTTTGAATGGTGATATACACGCTAGTGGTAAAACAATGTAATAGTGAATGAATCATGTTAAAACATAACTACTTTAGCCCCATTAGTTCTTGGGGGATGTGCGTGGATATGTTCGTGAATTCGTTGTTGATATATGAGTTTAGCAGTTGCGGATAAAGGTCTTCAGCCCTTTATCTTCATGATCTGAGAAAAGATGCTTAATCTGATGCATTCTAGAGCTTGTGGACATTACCATCAGCAAGTTAGATACACGACCGAACAGCAACGTTACCTAAGTCTTCGATGTCTATTGGAAACACCAGATGTCCCAAAGACAGTGTGAAGGGCACTCTGCTTCCACAACCCTGGAGCACTCTGCCTGTACTCAACTCTCTCCAGCACCTCACACTTCCCTCCAATCCCTCACCCTTGTCTATTTAACCCCTCACCCTCCCCTATTCTTCCCTCGGAGATATAATTCGTTCCCCCTTTTCCCACTCTTTCTTTACCCTTAAGGGACACAAAGGGCACAAACTTGTTTACTTCACGTGCGCCAGAACCCCTTCCCCGCCCTTCATCCCCTCCCCCCCAGTGACCTCTATGGGGCCATGAATTACCTCCTCCAACAGCTAGTTCGGTCGTTATGAGCTTGCTCTGATAATTAACGACGGTATTGTGGAGGCGCCGAGGTCGTAAACACTTTCTTCTTTATCGTACGACTCGCTCAGAGCTGTTGTTGTTAATTTTTAGGAAGTCGTTGTCGTGATCGGAGTCGTTGCTTGAGCCTACATGGCGCTGCAACCCATCCTCCGAATTGACAGTACGTTATACTACTAAGTGTAATACGTACATTTCCTGACTGTTATACATAGTACATAATTGCACTTACGGGGCTGTTACATTTATCCATCCCCCCTCCCCCGATTTAAGTTTCCTCGTTTTCTGTTGGGACACTTGAAATTTTAAGATGAAATTTTAATGTTCAGTTGCTGATGATGATGATGAAGATTAAGCCACCCAAAAGGTGGCACGGGCATGAATAGCCCGTAAGTGGTGGCCATTTTAAGCCATTACCAGTATCAAGAGCTGATACTGGAGATCTGTGGAGGTGCGAATGCACCCTGCATGATGGGAGATGTCTCCCTTGTGAATGTGTTAAGATGAAGATGAAGCCACCCAATAGGTGGCACGGGCATGAATTGGTAAGTGGTGGCCCTTTTGAGCCATCACCAGTATCAATAGATGATACTGGAGATCTGTGGAGGTGCGACTGCACCCAGCGTGACGGGAGATGTCTCCCGTGTTTTAAACAGATGAAGAAGATGAAGATGAAGCCACCCAAAAGATGGCACGGGCATGAATAGCTCGTAAGTGGTGGCCCTTTCGAGCCATCACCAGTATCAAGAGCTGATACTGGAGATCTGTGGAGGTGCAAGTGCATTCAGCGTGACGGGAGATGTCTCCCATGAATGTGTCCAAGATGACGATTAAACCATCGAAAAGGTGGCACGGGCATGAATAGCCCGTAAGTGGTGGCCCTTTTGAGCCATTACCAGTATCAAGAGCTGATACTGGAGATCTGTGGAGGTGCAACTGCACCCTGCGTAACGGGAGATGTCTCCCGGACCAAGTGGTGACCAAATGGTGCAGTTGCTATAAACAAGTTTTAAATATTAGGATTTTCTTTTTCACTTTTATTAAACAATAGAGATTTTATACAAAATTTGAAAATATCCTGAGTTATTTTACAATTTATTGAAATATTTTAGTTTTGTTTTATTTGTTTTATAAAACTGTAATATCAATATAGCTATAGGTTAAGTAGTAGTTATAATTAAGATGCAATAAAATGCTTATCTTCACAAACTAAGACAGTTAGGTCAGGTCGTGGTTTTCTAATCAGCTTTTTAGGTAAACTCAAATATTCACAATATATTAGATAGTACGATTTAATACTAAGTGTAAATAAGTACAATTCTTGACTGTCATACATAGTACATAATTGCACTTATGGGGCTGTGTACATTTACCTCCCCATTTTTGGAGGACGGGCTGGGCTCTATCGTATCTACATTTGAAACTGTGTATGGAGTCAGCCTCCACCACATGTGTGTGTGTGTGTGTGTGAACAAAATATTAGTAAATATATACTACTCGAAGAAAAAATTCCATTAGCGTTACATATATTACGACGGGATACAATATACATTTAAGCATCAATTAAACCTCGCTGCCGGCCTCACCAATCTGAAGTTGACTGTTGAGAGGCAAGCCAGGCTTGTATGGTATGGTATAACTCACTCTCTCTCTCTCTCTCTCTCTCTCTCTCTCTCTCTCTCTCTCTCTCTCTCTCTCTCTCTCTCTCTCTCTCTCTCTCTCTCTCTCTCTCTCTCTCTCTCTCTCTCTCTCCCCTTCACTACCGCTAACTGCCTCTCGTCTCTTTCCAGCCGTCAAGAACCTCATGCCCGTGAACGAGCCCGAGGTCAAGCGCCAAGACCTGGACCACGTCTTCCTACGGTTCGGACGCTCCCAGTAACCAGAGAGAAGAGCGCGGGAAGGAGAAGAAGGAAGAGTTCACGCGGCTCTGGCAACACTCCTCGCCCGAGGGACCCTGCAGATAATGCCTAAGGAGGATTAATCTAATGTTACTCTGCCAGCCTTTTTTTTGGTTTCAGCCTTTGGTGACACTGCTTATGTACTGATATTGTGTTTTTTCTGTGTGTGTCCTTAGTGGTGAATGATCTCTTGATTATCTTGACCAAAAAATGGCTGGCACGGTTACATGAAAACTTTGTCTTTGTTTGATTTTGTTAATATTACACCTCGATATGAAAAAGAAAAACCAAAAACAATTTGTGTGTGATTTTGATTTGAATTAAATGCAATATTATATATATATATACATACATATTATATACATATATATTTATGTTTTTTATCTCATGTAAAATATGCAGCACTCATTTTTAGAATATTCTAAATAAAGCTGAATCTCCCTACAACTATGCTATGTTTTGATTGAACTGATTGAACGGTTGAACATTGAGTTGCAGGATAGAACTGTTCTTCCTCAGGTCATTGAGATCCATCCATGTGTATATCTCCTACAGTTGCTGAGACCTGCTTGCATGATGAACTCCGCCAGTTGCTCTATATACCTCTTATCTGAGAATTAAAACGCTGAACACGCCATACTAAGCGTATTTTCACACTCCTTCACGTAATTGTTGAGAGTCCAGGTTCCAGGATATGCCCCACCCAGAGAGCCACCGTGTGGATTACCTTTATTAAATAATGAAAGCACTCTATAGATATAGAGATATCTCTGTAGATATACTCTATAGCACTTGTCAAGCACTACTATAGTAGACACAACAAGGTTTTCATTTTCACTTGGCAATGAACCTCACCCAATTAAAACATACACTATAGATTATATATTTAAATCTCTATGTTTCTTTTTCACCGAACTAAATTTACCCAAACCTATAGATAATTTGCATTGGCTGTTTCAAATTATCCACTAACATTTAATTGAGTAAATCAGTATAAATAAAAATAATTAACTACAACATTCACTTACCATGCGCAAATCCAGCAAGAATAAATGTCGTATTATTCAATTTTCCTACTCTTAATTTTTATTGAATTATTCCTAACCTATATTTACATGCTGAAGATGTTAAATGTACTTCTGAAAAGGTTTCTTTAAGTGTGTTAAAATACAAATTCTCGCATGTAGATGAATCTAGGCTATTAGAAATCAATATGAACATCCTAGTTCGTATAATCCTGACTGATAATTCTCTTCACTGTAATCCTGACAGTGATAATCCCGAAGGGATACTCTTGATGATGATAGTGGCCAAATGGATACTCCAAGCGGTGATTAATAGCCAAATGGGTGCTCCAGACGGTGAAAATAGCCAAAGGGGTACACCTAATGGTGTACCCCTTTGAGCAAGTACTAATAGTAATAATTGCTCCGGTTAAATTAGGTTACAGTGACTATAATAATCAATATTTTATGATCACGATCATTAATATAATTACGACCATGATAATTGATATAATTACGACCATGATAATTGATATAATTACGGCCATGATAATTGATATAATTACGACCATGATAATTGATATAATTACGACCATATGTGTATATGGTGTATGTTACGACCAATGTGTGAGACGGTGAAGAGGAACTACCCACATGAAGTGTCTCTCACTTCAAGACCACGAGACAAGCAGAGACAGCATCCAGTGACCGTACCTACGGAACATAAGCTGCCCTGTTGATACATTTAACACACAGTTAATACCCCTATGTTATGCCATTCATACACTTGTTCTTTACCACCTCACCTAAAGATAATATAATGCGATGCTAAACACAGTAAAAATTGTCTTTGAAAATGTAAGGAGTATCTTGCGAAACGCATCCCCAGACGTCAGACTATAATAAAGTGTGAAAATGAACTTTGATGAAAATTAAAAATGTCTCTCAAAGACAATATACCACCATGAGCTCTTGACCCCTAAATGATTCGAACCCGGTTCACCCGCCAGGGTATCGACCATCGGCAGACCAGTACTATAACCACTCGGCCAATGATTGTCAAAAGTGTTGGTAAGTGGGGGAGGCCTATTCATGACATCAGCAACACCCATTTGGGCTCATGCCCAGTAATACCACGAGTGTTGTTGGGTGTTGAGGGCACGGGGGGGGGGGGTCTCTTGACTTCCCAACGCAATCACTGGCTGAGTCGCTATAGTCAATTATAGGCGTAATTGATTGGAAATAGGCTACCCCTTAATTCTTTGAATGTACTACACATATATCTATTCTTACATAATTTTATATCTATTATAAATGTTACCAATTATAAAGCTATCTTATTTATACAATCATTGCCTTACACTAATATTATCTAATTCACTACTTTTTATAAATAAAGATTCAATACTCTTTGTTACTAACGGAAATACGCTCAATAATTTAACAAGAATTAGTACAGTCACGTGAATGTTTACAATCATTGTAACCATTGTAATCATTCAATTGACCTGACTAGGGAGTCTCACCTGCGCTGCCGTGCGGTGTAGACGTGTCGCCTGACCGCTCCGGAAGTTTGGGGTGGTTAACGTTTTCGCCGGCAGGGGGTGTGGGTGTGTCTACCCTCCCTGCTGTTCCTGGTGGAGTGGATGTGGCGTTTTTACGATAGGCGGCCATCTTCCAGCTGTCGTGAGGGTGAACTCCATAGGTTTGGAGTTTACTGGCCGTGCTGGTTACCCTCTTGTGGACTTTGTCTTGAGTGACATGCTCAGGGTCCCGGTCCAGGACGTCTACGGTGTCGAGCTGGTCACTGCTTGCCGTGTGATAATAAAGTTTGTGGGTGAGGCAGTGTACCGTGATTTTCTCCGGAGGTACGAGGGGCGTACTTTGCTGCTGCAGGACGGCACCGGGTCTGTGACCATTTTGGACCGCAGTGGTGCTGTGACATATGTAAGTGTCCATGGCGCCCCCATGAAGTTTCCTGAGACCCTCCTCCGGCGTTTCTTCCAGAGGTATGGCCCCGTCGTCAGTGTGCGGATGAACTCGCTGTCATCTGGGAAGTATTCGGGTGTGATGATCAACATTCGTACCCTGACCAACATTCGTACTACATGCGGGTGTTTTATGCCCGGCAACCCCGTACTTGTTTCCGGTGTGCCTTGTTGGGGCATCAGGCTGCCGGGTGCACTGCTGATCCGGTTGCTCCTGTGAATTTGTTCCGTGAAGAGGATTTCCCGCCGCTCCCTCTGGAGGAGAACTCTGGGGGTGAGGAGGTGAGCGTCCCGTTCGCTGCTGAGGCTCCCCCAGCCTCGCCCGACGTTCCCCCGGTTGTCGCAGGCCCTCCTCCGGATGTTGCGGTGCCGTTGGATGATACTCCTGCGCCTGTCTCTGGCCCTGCTGCTCCTGTGGGCCTTCCTGGTACTTCCTGTGAGGCATCGCCGTCTGCTCTCTCGTCTTCGGCTGCTGATCCCTGGCCCTGCCTCCTCTACTCGGGCCCCTACTGTGCTGGGTGCTGGGGTGGCTATGGAGCCTCCTGCTGTGTGTGGTCTGGTTCCCCCTGTGGTAGAGGCTGCAGCCGTTCTGCGTCGGGCATCGGTTCGTCCGGCTAGTGGTGCCCGTGCTTCTGGATCCGCTTCCGGCTCTGACGATATCCGGCCGGAGCCCAAACGTTCCAGGCGTTCGTCTACTGCCAGGGCCGATGTTGGGGACTTCAGTGACTGGGTCTTCAGGTGTTGACGGCGTGGATCCGGATGCGTCGTTGTCTCCGCGGCTGGTGGTGGTGGAGGTTCATGTGCCTGCTGGTGCTGATGCCCATGTCTCGGGTGTGCCTTCTGTTCCTTCCCCGCCAGGGGACCCTCCGCAGTGGGGTGTGGTGGCTTCTGCTGCCGGGGATGGTGCGGATGCTGGTGCTGGGCGTGGCCTGGTCGTGACTTTACGAAAGGATGCGAGCCGCCCTGGTTCCCTGCAGTCGTCTGGTGGTGTGCCCGTGGCCGCTGGTGCCCCTGTGGTGGTGCCTTCTGTCCGGCCCCCTCCTGTGGGGTTGCGAATTGAGGACCTGGAGGCCGGGGTTGCCAAGTTCCTGCTGTCTGAAAGGCCGGAGGACTTTCAGGATGAGCGGGTCCCCGGTGTGTGGAGTAGGGTGGCAGTTACTCGCCTCCGGTGTAACACCGTCTGGGTTCCCTGTTTGCGCGTGTTTGTTGCCGGGGTTCCGGATGACTTGGCGCCCCCGGTGGTGGGTAAAGCCTCTTGGGGGAAGTGGATGCTTTGGGAGGCGTTCAATGTGCGGTTCCCCCGGGTCTTGTTCCCAGGCAAATATGTCAGCTGATTCCATGTTACTGTAGTGTTGTGTGCCCCTATGGACTTTTGTTTGCCCAAATTGTTTTCTGTGCCCGTGCCTCTCCCTTATTTGTTGCGAGGCCGGTGTTCTGGTGAGGGCGTTTTTACTCCTGTATTTGCTTTTGTGTTGTTACTTTGCCATGTGTGTTCTACTTCTGCATTGCTAGAATGTATTGTTGTTGTTTTTTTATTTTTTATTTTTTTTATTTTTTTTTTATTATTAGCTTGTTGTGTGTTGTGGAACTTTCTTGTTCTATTTTATTATGCCCTTTATGTTGTGTTTTGTTCTCGGTCCTTCAGGCCGGTGCTTGTTTGTTGTTGTGTATGTAACTACGTTTTGTTTTCTTGATTGCATGGATTGCTTGTTTGTTATTATTGTATATTTTGGCCTCTCCCTTTGTGTGTTGTGAGGCGGCTGGTTTGGTGTGAGTGTTTTTATTCATGTCTGGTTTCTGTGATGTACATTTGCACTGGTGTTTTATTGTTGCATTATGTGTTGTACTTGTTTGCTATTTTTGTTTTGTTTGTTGTGTATTGTGATTTTCTTGTGATGTTTCATGTTATACCTCTTGATGTTTGTTTTGTTTTATAATGTTTTGTTTTGTAATGTTACTGTGCTTGCTTGTTTGACATTGTTTTCTATTTTGTGTCTTGTTGTCTGCTGTGTTTTTCATGCATTTATCGTGTTTGTGACTTGTTGTACTGTGCTGTCGGCCCTTCTGGCCGCTGGTTTATTGTTTTGTTTTGTTTTATTATTGTTTTATGTTCTTTTCTTGTTTTTATTGTATTTAAATTGCATGCTTTGCATGTCAAAATAATAATAAAAAAAAATTGACCTGACTAATTGATGCCGTTGGACTGCACTATGGGTAAGGTTCAGCCTGGACCTTACCTCATCGCCTCAACTCACACCAATAGAACCAGAGTTTCCCATAAATTCCAAGGTAGTTTCTGAGATCCATTGATTTCCTGTACTGTTGAAGCAATTATATGCTAATTGTGGGAGTTCAAATTAACTTAAAACTGCGATTAGCACAATAAGGCTCCATTCTGCCACATGTACAACCATGTGTCAGTACACTCATATGGCTGCAGGTCTAGAATGAATAATTAATTTAAATACGTTTATTGAGGTATAAATTAGACACAAAGATATGAGATAGCTCAAACGTCATCCCTTTGTGTATTTATACCTCATAATGAATAATGAAGTATGTTGTGAACCTTATCTACTATTTTGTTCAGAGTTGATGTAGTAATTTGTCTAGAAAGTCTTTATGTACAATTAGGACAAAATATT